GGTGTGAGGGGCAGGTTAACCTCTGGCTGTTGTACCTGACAGGTGGTGCTGAAGGCCGAAGGTAAAGTCCACAGTCTGACTCTGCGAGACGTTCAGCTGAATGAAGCCGGACAAGTCAAACTCACAGCCAAAGAGTTCCAGGCGGAGGCGTCGCTCACTGTCAGAGGTAAGAACTGATTCTACTGGACGTTACATTAAACCATGTGACATCATCAGAGAGCGTCACAGCTTTACAGGCACATTAAATTAAATCAACAGATAAAGTTACAATAAAAATGAAGCTTCGTAGTCAACAGGAATAATAATGTTAATTTACTGTGTGTGTGTGTGTGTGTGTGTGTGTGTGTGTGTGTGTGTGTGTGTGTGTGTGTGTGTGTGTGTGCGCTCTCAGAACCGGGGGTGGAGTTTACGAAGCCTCTTGAGGACCAGACAGTGGAGGAGGAAGCCACCGCTATGCTAGAATGTGAAGTGTCCAGAGAGAACGCAGAGGTCCGATGGTTCCGAGACGGACAAGACATCAGGAAGACCAAGAAGTATGAGATGATCGTCGATGGCCTCAAGAGGGCGCTGCTCATCCACGACTGCACTCTGGACGACTCCAGGACGTACACCTGTGACGCTAAAGACTTCAAAACCTCCTGTTTCCTCAACGTTGAACGTGAGTGAACTCAGACCTTTGTATAAGTTTTACAGTCTTTAAGGAACTTTTATAAAAAGGTGCGACTTTCACATGAAAACCGTGAAAAACAGGAGGAAGAACCGCGTAGAGGACTTTAAACTAATCTCTGGTTTGACTTAAGGAAGCTTCTGCCTTGTGTTGAAGACGAGACAGGAATCGTGTTGTTGACTCTTTGTCTTTGTGTCGTCAGCTCCTCATGTCGAGTTCTCAAAGCCGCTCCATGACGTCGAGGTCAAAGAGAAGGAATCTGCCCGGTTTGAGTGTGAATTGTCCAGAGAGGACGTCAAAGTGAGAAGCTCCGACTGTTTGTCTGTTTTCACGCAACACTGCAGTAAAGTTTTCTGTCTCTGAAGTGTCCTCTTCCTGTCCGTCCTGCAGGTCCGCTGGTTTAAGGATGGAAGTGAAATCAGAAAGGGGAAGAAGTATGAAATTATCGCTCAAGGTTGCCAACACATCCTCATCGTCCACAAGTCTGTGTTTGATGATGAAGCTGAATATGAATGTGACGCCAAGACGTCCAAATCCTCCGGCATGCTCACTGTCGTCGGTAAGAATCAAACAAAATGTCAGAGCTCGTGATTGTGTCTTTGATTCTTATGTTGAAATGATCATTTTATATCAAGTTCATCTCCTGATTGTCGCTTCTCAGGCTGAGCTCCGACACACTGAGTTTTTATCAAATCACTTGAAATCATTTTTATTTCTTCTCTGTTAATTTGAAAACGAATCTTTTAACCTAAATTTAAAACTTGAATCAGAACTTCAGGTTTGTTTTTTCTGACTTTTTGTTTCGTATTGTTAATTTTTGATCTAAAGAAAAACTGATGAAGACATTTTTTATTCTTCCTCGTGTTCGTTACATTGAATCACAGACGTGTTTGTGTTGCTGTGGATTCAGAATGTTTTGATCTCCTGACTTTGTTTCACCGCTTCCGTTTCCCTCGCTGCAGAGGAGGAGGCGAGATTCACCAAGAATCTGTCTAACGTGGAGGGGACAGAGACGGACAGCGTGAAGCTGATCTGCGAGGTCTCCAAACCCAGCGCTGATGTCACCTGGTACAAAGGAGACGAGGAGCTGCCAGAGGGCGGCCGCCACGAGAACATCGTGGACGGTAAGAGGAGGATCCTCCTCATCCAGGACCTGAAGATGGCTGATGGTGGCGAGTATAACTGCAGACTGAGTCCCAGCATCAAGACCTCCGCAAACCTCAAGATTAATGGTGTGAAGAGAAAAAAGAAAATCATATAACAATAGAAATGCATGTATTTTTAACCACTGATTATTTAATCACGTCACAAACTCTAACCTTTGACCTTTCCTTGTTTGTGGCAGAACTGGCGGCTGAGTTCATCTCCAGGCCTCAAGGCCAGGAGGTGGTGGAGGGAGAGAAGGCGGAGTTCACCTGCTCCGTCTCCAAGGAAACCTACGAAGTCAAATGGCTGAAAGACGACAAGGAGCTGGAGGCAGGAGACAAATACCAGATGGTCAGCGACGGCAAGCGGCGAACACTGGTCATCAAGAACAGCGAGCTGAAAGATGAGGGTGGATACGTGGTGATGATCGGAACGACCAGAGCCAGCGCAGACCTCACGGTGCTCGGTGAGACAACTTAATATGGAATTACACAAAATGTTTTTTTAACGATGTTAAAAACATTAAACATCAGCTTCGTCTCAAGAACATATTAACTTTTATCTGAAGTTTCATTCTAATGTTTTGTTAATCATTTGAATTATTAACAACATTAACGACATCGGTCTGAAGAGTCAGCATCTGATGTTTGTTTGTCCTGCAGAGAAACTGAAGATCATCACGCCGCTGAAGGACACGGAGGCTAAAGAAGGTCAGGAGGTCGTCCTGAACTGTGAAGTGAACACGGAGGGAGCAAAGGCCAAGTGGCTGAAGAACGAGGAGACATTGTTTGAGAGCAGCAAGTACCTGATGGTCCAAAGAGACAATGTCTTCTCTCTGAGGATCAGAGATGCTCAGAAGGGAGATGAAGCCAACTACAGCATCAACCTGACCAACCAGAGAGGAGAACAGGCCAAGAGCTCAGGCAACCTCACCGTCAAAGGTCAGAGCTTCACAGCTTTAACGAGCTTTGAATCGTGATGTCAGAGAGGTTTGTGTGATAATAATGTTTTTGTCTGAGATTGTTTTTGACGTGAATTTGTTTTGCCCTCCAGAGGAGAGTCTGAGGATCGTGGTTCCTCTGGAGGACATCGACACTCAGGAGAAGAAGACCGTTAGCTTCTCCTGTAAGGTCAACAGGCCCAACGCCACGCTGAAGTGGATGAAGGCCGGGGAGGAGATCGCCTTCAACAAACGAGTCGTTTACAGAGTCGACAAAGACAAGCACACGCTCACCATCAAAGACTGCACGCTGGCTGACGAGGGCGAGTACACCGCCGTGGCTGGAGACAACAAGTCCACAGCGGAGCTGATCATCAGCGAGGCGCCGACAGATTTCAGCATGCAGCTGAAGGACCAGACAATCACCGAGTTTGAGGACGCAGAGTTCTCCTGTAAACTGACCAAAGAGAAAGCAGAAGTCAAATGGTACAGGAATGGACGTGAGATCAGAGAAGGACCCAGGTACGTCAGCGGATCACATCCTCAATCAAAACTCTGTTCACACCGGTTTCACTTTTCAACTCAGTGTATTTTTCATTTGGACAGATACACGTTTGAAAAAGACGGAAAGATTTGCACGTTACGTATCAAAGAGTGCAGACCTGATGATGAGTGTGAGTACGCCTGTGGTGTGGATGAGAAGAGGTCCAGAGCCAGACTCTTTGTTGAAGGTGAGAACTGAACCTAATTTTCAGTCTAATCTACTTCCTGCTCTGTTCCTCCGCTTCATGATCCTTCTCCTGTCCCACAGAGACGCCGGTGGAGATCGTCAGACCGCCACAGGACGTGTTCGAACCCCCGGGCTCGGACATCGTGTTCGAGGTGGAGCTGAACAAGGACAGAGTGGAGGTGAAGTGGTTGAGGAACAACATGACGGTCGTCCAGGGAGACAAGTACCAGATGATGAGCGAGGGTAAAGTCCACAGACTGCAGGTGTGTGAGATCAGACCTCGAGACCAGGGCGAGTACAGAATCATTGCCAAGGACAAAGACGCAAAGGCCAAGCTGGAGCTGGCAGGTAAGAGCTTCACCACTTCTCCATGGTCGAGGAGCAGCCTCCATCAGCCATTGTTCTGATGTTGTCACTCTGACGCTGTCTCCTTCCTCCTCCTCCTCAAGCTGTGCCTCAGATAAAGACCACAGACCAGAGCTATGTCACAGACGCTGGGAAGCCCATCGTCATGGCCGTCCCTTACAGCGCCTACCCGCAGGCCGAGGCCGACTGGCTCTACGACAACCTGAGTCTGCCCAAAGACGACATCTACACCTCCACCGACCGCACAGAGTATCGACTGAAGGACCCCAAGAAGTCGGACCAGGGCCGCTACAAGATCACGATCAAGAACAAACATGGAGAGGGAGAAGCCTTCATCAACCTCGACGTCATTGGTGAGATCAAAACTGGAACTCAAGTCATATCTGCTTCATAAACAGAGACTAAACTTCGGTTAACTACAGCAGGTTAACGCTGAGATAATATTCTGGTTGTAAAGATCATGTGATGGAAAAAGCTCCAGAGAAGAGAAGCTACTAAATAGAAATAAATATTTTCTACTTTCTAAGTAAATAAGAATAAATCTGTTGAATCAGAATCACATTTATTTTAAACACATAAATTTACTCTGGTGATTGGTGCTCAACGGAAATATTAAGAAACATTAAAAAACAGCTCCTGTGAGTACAAGACAGGAAGTAAGGACTTTGTGAATGAGTTCCAGACACTGTCAGTGCAGTACCTGGTTTGAACAGCAGATGGCAGACTTCACTCAGTCATGTACACTAGATGTAGAGAACATACAAACAATACACAAACTAAAACACAATATTTGTCAAACATGAAAGCTTTGCAGTAAAGATATGATGATAATAATAACACATTAGATTTATAAAGATGCTTAAAGAAATGTTAACGAAGACATTTGGAATGATGACTCACTTTTCTGAAGTCCAGTGTCACCGTCAGTTCCTGTGTTCGTCGTCATGACCAGTTTTCGGTTTTGTTCCACAGACGTCCCCGGACCTGTGAAGAACCTGCAGGTGATCGATACCGCAGATGGTGAGGTAAGCCTGGCATGGGAGGAGCCTGAGAGCGACGGCGGCAGCAAGGTCATTGGCTACGTGGTGGAGAGACGCGACGTGAAGCGAAAGACCTGGACGCTGGCAACAGAGCAGGCCGATAGTCCTGAGTACACGGTGACCGGCCTCCACAGAGACTCCATGTACCTGTTCAGAGTCTGCGCCCGAAACCGGGTTGGCAGCGGACCCATCACAGAGACCGACAAACCCGTACAGGCCAAGAACAAGTTCGGTGAGAAGAACTGCTTTATTTTGTATATTTCTACGTTAAATTAGTGGATATGAGCAAATAAAAAAAACTAAGTCAATACATGTTTGGTCAAAACAGAATCAAATTTAACGAAATGTTCAAATGTGTAACATCAGGTATAATTTACTGTAGTTTGACATCAAATGTAATTAGCTTGTTGTAACTGTCAATCATGTTTGTTCATAGTATTTTTTAACACAGTTACTCCTGTAGTTTTATTTGTACTTTACTTGTTAGTTTCTCTCACAGGTTGGTTTTATCTAAACTGACAAAAAGTCTGTTCACTGTCCAGGTGACGTAATGTTTGAGTTGGATCCGATTATTGACGGTTAGAAAAGTGTTGATGACAAGAAACCAGGCGGGATCTTTAATTGATCCTTGAGGTTCGGCTCATTTGATTTGCGCAGTAGATGTTTATGTCTTAGATATTAGAACCAGTTCAAGGCAGATTGAGCAGAGCCCCTCCCTCTTTGGACATTTGTAAATTGAAAATGAATTTGTTCATATATAAATAACTTTGTTCAATCCAATCGTTCCACATTTTTCAGAAAAGCAGAATGTTGCTCTTACTTTCTCCTCTGTCTTTTTTTTAACAGATGTTCCCGAAGCCCCTTTGAATGTGATCGTGGGAAATGTCTCAAAGTTCGGCTGCACCGTCTCCTGGGAGACTCCCGAGTCGGACGGAGGCTCTCCCATCACCTCTTATGTCATCGAGCTACGTGACCGCACGTCAGTGAAGTGGTCGCCCGTCCAAGTGACCAAAGCTGACGAGCTCAGCGCAATCATAAACGATGTCATCGAGAACAAAGAGTACATCTTCAGAGTCAAAGCCGAGAACAAAGCCGGCGTCGGCAAACCCAGCGCCGCCTCACAGCCCGTCAAGATCATGGATCCCATTGGTGAGACAAAAACAGATGATGATTGAAAAATGAATCATTCTGTCACGTAACTGAATTCTAGTCAATAATAATAATAATTAACAGAAAGGATTAACTTCATTTATACAAAATAAGACTCCGACATGAACGAATGAAATAATACATGCTTTGACTTCAGAGCGTCCCAGTCCCCCTCTGAACCTGTGCTGGCAAGACCAGAACAAGAGCTCGGTGCAGCTCACCTGGGAGACTCCTCTGAGGAACGGAGGTAGCATGATCACCGGTTACATAATTGAACGCTGTGAGGACGGCACCGACAAGTGGCTGCGCTGCAACGCCCGCCTCTGCCCCGACCTCTTCTACAAGGTACGGATATTCATTCAGCTTCATCCTGGTTTGTTGTTTGGATGTAATCTTTGAAAGGTTTCAACTTAAATCTCTCACAGGGGTACGTTAGCATGTCAGGCTACGTCAGAAGCTTTTCAGTTAGTTGTGCAGCCTCATGATTCAGATTCATTCTAAAACTTTATTTCAAAACTGTAACCTTTGACCTCAGGTGTCTGGTTTGAAATATGGAACCAAGTACAACTACAGAGTGTTTGCTGAAAACGCAGCCGGCGTCTCTGACCCATCAAACGTCAATGGACCTCTGTTAGCTGACGACCCACATGGTGAGAAGAACAATGAGTCTCTGTGTTGGTCGCTTTTTAATATTCTGGGAGAAGAGAAGTGACATGTAATGTTTAACTTCCCATCATGCCTCTCTCTCCCCTCTCCAGTCGGTCCGACCTTTGACCTTAGTGCTTTCAAAAATGGCCTGGAGGTCATCGTCCCTCAGCCTCTCACCATCAGAGTCCCCATCTCCGGATACCCTACCCCCGTCGCCAAGTGGACCTTCGGAGAGAAGGAGCTGACCACTGCCGATGAGCGAATCAGCCTGATGACCAAGTCCACCTTCACGGAACTGATAGTCACACCCAGCGTCCGCCCGGACAAAGGCATCTACGTCCTGCAGCTTGAGAACGACGTCACATCTGTCTCTGGAGAGATCGAAGTCAACGTCATCGGTACAACATTAAAAACGAAATAGTTTGTAATCCGATCAGTTTGTGATGAAGAAACTGTCACCAGCACATCATTGACTTTTTCTGAAGATTTGGTGTCATTGTTTCTCTGATTCTCCTCCAGCTGCACCTAGTGCTCCGAAGGACTTCAAGGTTCTGGAGGTGACACGGCAGCACGTCCACCTGAGCTGGGAGGCGCCCGAACATGATGGAGGAAGTCCTCTGACAGGCTACCAGGTGGAGAAACGAGACGTGTCCCGCAAGACCTGGGTCAAGGTATGACCTGAAATTTCATGTTAATTGACTGATGGTTGATGTTCTTTTATCATTAATGTCTCACATTGTTATAACTAAATTATTTTCTCTTCACTATATCATCGTAATCATGAATGCTGATGACTAGCTTCTGTGATATGTGTCAGGTGGCCACAGGAGTCCAGGATCAGGAGTTTACTGTCACTGACGTGGTTGAAGGGAAGGAGTATCTGTTCAGAGTCACCGCCTGCAACAAGTGTGGACCAGGAGAGCCGGCGTACATCGACGAACCCGTCAGCGTCTCCTCTCCTGCCAGTGAGTCTGACCAGAGATTAAAATGTCTGGTTAATGAAACCGTGAGTCAAAGAACTTTCTAACCTCTCCATCTCATTTCTCCACCAGCTGTGCCCGATCCTCCAGAGAACCTGAAGTGGAGGGACAAGTCTGCCAGTGGCATCTTCCTGACCTGGGAGCCACCAAAGTATGATGGCGGCAGCGGCATCCGAGGCTACAACGTTGATCGCTGCCAGAGAGGAACAGATAAGTGGGAGCCCTGCGGGGACCTGGTGCCTGAGCTGAAATGCCAGGTGACCGGTCTGATCGAGGGCCAGTGGTATTCTTACAGAGTCCGAGCCTTGAACGGACTCGGAGCCGGCCGACCCTGCAAGGCCACAGACGAGATACAGGCCGTTGATCCAAAAGGTACCCGAGCATCTTCCTTACAACAAGATAAGAATAATTGATTCCATTTGTGATTTTCTGTGAGGAATGAGTTTCTGACCCTCCTCCTGTCATCCATGCAGAACCTCCAGAGATCCAGCTGGACGCCAAGCTCCTGGCCGGTCTGACAGCCAAAGCTGGCAGCAAGATCGAACTCCCCGCTGAAGTAACAGGTAAGCCCGAGCCCCGGGTGAAGTGGACCAAGGCCGACCTGGTCCTCAAAGCAGATGACAGAGTTTCCATTGATACCAAGCCGGGACACTCAACTGTCACTATCGCCAAGACCAAGAGAGACGATAGCTCAACCTACATTATTGAAGCCACCAACAGCAGTGGCCGTGCCACAGCCACCGTCGACGTCAACATCCTCGGTACGACAATTTAACAACAGAGAAAATAAATGACATAAAGAAGGTTTTTAAAGTAACTTTTTCAGGATAATTGAATTTGAAATCTTCTTCTCTCAAACAGATAAGCCTGGTCCTCCAGCTGCCTTCGACATCTCTGAGATCACCAACGAATCCTGCTTCCTGGCCTGGAACCCTCCACGTGATGACGGCGGCTCCAGAGTCACCAACTACATTGTAGAGCGCCGAGCTGCCGACAGCGAGATCTGGCACCGTCTTTCCTCCACCATCAAACAGACCACATACAAAGCCGTGGGTCTGGTCAAGTTCAAGGAGTATATCTTCAGAGTCTTCGCTGAGAACCAGTTTGGTGTTGGTCCAGCGGCTGAACATCCGTCCATCATCGCCAGATATCCCTTCGGTAGGTCACCTAACTACAGGACTGAGGTTTGTCCCAATGGGAAGACACTCACTGTGGAAGTGTCTTTTGTGAAAGACTTGTATAATCATCACAGACAACAGGAGAGTTGTTCTGCTTCAGTAGTCTTTTTCTTTAATGGACCTTTTCAGCTCAGGTTCTAGTGCTTTAGGTCCATGATGATTCTGATCAATCCTGTCTTGCCCTCAGACACTCCCGGAGCTCCTTACAAACTGGAGCCTTCGGACATTGCCAAGGACTCTCTGACTCTGACCTGGTACGAGCCTGATGAGGACGGAGGAAGCCCCATCACAGGATACTGGGTGGAGAGACACGAACCTGACCACGACAAGTGGATCAGATGCAACAAGCTGCCGATCAAAGACACCAACTACAGGTGAGTCAGCCTGTTCTAATATCCGAACTGAGTCTGAGTCTGAACTTTGCTGATCTCACTTTGGCAATGTGACGTGTTTTCCTCCGCAGGGTCAAAGGTCTTCCCACCAGGAAGAAATACAAGTTTAGAGTCCTGGCTGAGAATCTGGCTGGAACTGGAAAACCCAGCAAAGAGACCGACCTGATACTCGTCAAAGATCCTATCGGTACAAACACATCCACCCACTCAGACTAGTTTTCATTTCAATTCAATTCAGTTTTATTTGTGTAACACCAAATCCTAATATCCATGATCTCAAGACTCTTCACAGAGAAGGTCAAGAGCTTCAGATCTTCTTCATATAGAGAAACCAACAGGTGAACAATGAGCAGCACTTTGAGACTGTGGAGTTCCCCCAGCAGTCTAGACCTATAGCAGCATAACTAAGGGATGGTTCAGGACCTGATCCAGAACTATAAACTTTATCAAAGAGGAAAGTTTTAACTTTAACTTTAAATGTAGAGATGGTGTCTGACTCTAGAACCCAGAGTGGGAGCTGGTTCCACAGGAGAGGAGCCTGGTAGCTGAAGGT